AAACTTGGGCTATCCGGTGTTTTCGTCCTCCTGCTCATCGTTTCTGATGTTTTAACTGCTATTTCCTGTTCATCACCTCCATCTGTATCTACCCAGTAGTTGAGATTGATTTGCAACACATTTTTCATTATTTCTGAATGAACAAATCACAGACACAGCAGCGTAAGATGAATTATTCCAGCATAGACAGACACAGTGGTTTTATTGCTGGTTTGCTTTAAACAAAGGAAGCATGGTTGCCACTGTGGGTGAATGCACTCTGAATAAAGTTGCCCCGGGCACCTGAAAGTTGATCCAATAAAATGTTTAATCAGATGGTCAGCCTATAGACCTGAAAGATTTGTGAAGACTTAAGACTTGACTTTGACTTACCCTCAATGACTTTGGACTTGACTTGAGACTGGCTTTGGAAAGCCTTAAAAGTTTATTTAAACTTGACTTTATATTGTAATTGGACTTATTCTCAAGGACGGGCCTTCAAGGACCTCAGATTTTACTTGAGGCTTGCTTTGAAGACTTGAGACTTGACATAGGCCCTCAAGGACATATATAAGGACACCATACTGGACTTGAGACTTGACTTGTTGACTTGGGACTTGACTTAGACTGGCTTTGACAAGACTTGAGATGTAAAATGTATTTGCACTCAAGAACTTGAGATTTGGTTTTGACAAAACTCAAGATTTGGACTCATTTGGAATAAGTTGAGACTTGACTTGGGCTTGACTCAACTGACTTAAGACTTGACTTGGACTTGGGCTTGACTCAACTGACTTAAGACTTGACTTGGGGCTCGATTTAGACTTGCCTTCAAGAACTTAGGATGCTGAGGTCAAGTCCAAGTCAAGTCTCCAGATTTGACTTAAAACTTGACTTAAGACTTGTCTCCGTTAAGTTGAGAGGTAAGTTGAATCTGACTCAAGGGACTTAATATTTGAAGTTAGACTGGTTTTGGACTTGGACTCAATTAACTTGAGACTTGACTTAAACTTGCCCCAAAAGATTACTAATTACAATAGGCTAACTACACCCTAAAATGTTGCTATAACCCTTCCTCCCAGCATATTTAAAAAATGCAACAGAGGAGTAGGGGAGCAGCGACTGTAGTGAGTGACGTGGTGGGTCAGGGGAAATTGGGGGAGACCAACTGACCCCAGCTCAGTGTAGCGTGGACAATGACATACAGTAGGGCTGGCAGTCAGAACTAATGACCAGCTACTGTCAGACTCTCCGTGTCTGTGCTGGAAAGACAGGGAGTCTGGTGGAGCTTTGACAGTCCCTAGAAGCACGTTTATGGCCCTTTGAGAGAGTCACTGTGCTGTAGGTGACCTAGCAGCTCTAATAAAAGAAGCTCTCGGGTGTTTGTGAAGGAGTGTCAATACATAGTCATAGCCCTGCTGTTCATCACAGCTACTGTTCGTAGGCCCTAAATATCTGGTTATGCTCTAAATACAGCACAGTTATCGGTTGACCCATGTGTCGTGTTCACTGCCACAAAGATGAATAAATCTCATTCATGTACGATATCATCTGTCCACCGGCGTTAGACGTGTTTCACTAAGGTTAACAGCAGCTATGTATTAGAGGCACAAACTGAAGCTACAGTTGAGCCAGTGTTATGCATTTTATACTTGGTGCAGAAATCGATGTAACAGTCTTCAAGAAGTCTTCATCAAGGTTAGGGAGGGGCGAGAGATGTCAGCTGAACATAATATTCAAATAAAAGCAGACAGACGGAAGATAGTTTTGAGCAGAAAAAGATATCACATAGCATGCTATCAATAAGTATGTCATTATGCAAAAATATTATTTAGTTGCTCTTTAAAGAGTCCAGCTCTGGTATGCGACTAAAAAGATCAAATTTGAGTGGATGATATTTTTGACCATATCTGGCTCTAACAGCACAGCTCTAATTATAGTCTTTGGGTCCTGTTAATCACTGATGTAAGACAAGACTCCACTGAGGAACACAAATTCTATCCAACCTGTACTCATTTCACCATAACCACACCAGATGTTTAAGTGGCTTTTTAAGCTACTGCATTAAATGAACTTGAGCTCTCTCTCTCTCTCTGTCTGTCTGTCTCTCTGTGTCTCTCTGTCTGTCTCTCTCTCTGATTATTCTGTGCAGGGTGGACGAAATGATGAAAAGTTGAAATGTTGTGTTGGTGTTACAGCAGCAGGACCTCGACCTCCGTGTTAAATCTTTCACAGCTCAATGAGAGCTCAGACAGACTAAACAATCAGCTTCACACACACACACAGACTTGACAGTAGTTGAACTTTAGGTGCTGCTGGCATCATTGTGTATGTGAACAGCGTCTGTGTGTCTGTGCTTTGAATTGTGCTTCTGTTCTACCTTGTTTGGGTTGTTATTTTGTTTTTCAGCTGGAATCACTGATAACGAATCAGGGTTGTGTTTTTCTGCCTGGAGAATCCAGATATGTTGGATAAGACATCCACTAATATTTGAATTAAATATTTGAATTAAATAGTTAATTTATGATCACCATTCAGAAGCTGTGTGGACTGATTTCATTGATTGATTGATAGACTGATGTCAACTCGTCTCAAAAACTGATGCAAAGTTTTCACACAGTGCACATCAGCTCAGAGGTCTGAGGGTCAGTTGAGTGTTTACGTCAGAGGTGAAGTGTGTTAAACTACAGTTCCTCAAATGGTTACTAAATGCTGCTCAAGGACCCTCTGATAATTATCGCATTTTAAAGTTGTTGTGTTAGCAAACAGCGGCCTACTTCCAGCACACATAGAGCAACAGTATCATCCCAATGAGGTTGTGTTTTGGTCTCCACTAACTCTTGGAAAATGTTTTTTTTTTTCTCTCTTCACAATAAAACTACAAGATAACAAAAAACAATATACAAAAGCATATTCAAATGTTACACATCCACGTCTGTTACCTGGCTGGTGCTTTCTTCATGTGCTCTCCAACGAAGGTGGCGTTGGTCATGCCCATCAGAGTGTTGGCCAGTGAAATCACAGACAGGAGGTGCTGTGTGGTGACAGCCCTCGATACCCCGTATGTCCCCTTCCCCACGATGTCCGACAGGGTCAGCTTCAGACCCGTCGCAAGGGACAACTGTTGCAGCAAGGACTCCTGGGAAAAGGAGGCAGACAAATGAACCAGGGACATGGGAAATACTAGTGCATGGTTTAAGAGAGTCAACCTGAGTGGCCTTGTGCGTTTTACTCAGCTCAGACACTATATTCTGTATCATGTATTTGCAGGCCAGCTCCCACTTCACTGATATCAGTTTTTATCTTTTCTACAGACACACCCTGCGCTCTCTGTATCGTCTGTTTGTTATCTGTTGGCGATCTGTTGTCTTTATTGACTGGTGAAGTACTTTATGACACTCGCTCCATAAAGGTGCTACAGAACCGTCAATCACTTCCTGATACTGTTGTTACTGACAGGTCTGCAGTTGCTCTGTGATCGTTCAGAGAAGGAAGCAGCTTTATTATTTTCTCATCCTACCTGTTACCGTTTTATTATTCCATTATTTGAAGTGGAGCACTTTGTAACTTTGTGCTATATGAATAAATGACCACAAACACTAGAAATAATAATAATAATACTGTGGGAGAACGTGATGGAATATAAAAATGTATATGAAGATAATAAGATCCCATCTACTCATTTCATTACCAGACAAGTACCTTGAAGGTGGGCAGCATGAGGGACATGTGTCCTCCCCTGGAGATCAGGCCGAAGGAGATGGGGCAGTGCGGTCTGAGCATGCCTAGCCGCTCCAGACAGATGCCGTCCAGCTGTTCGTTGAGACCCCAGGCGTGCAGGCAGGACATGAAGAGTTTGGCTGTGTCCATGGTCAGGTTGTACTCCAGCAGACTCAGAGACTTGGACTTCTCCTCTCGCCTCCTCATCTCCTCCTCCTCCTCCTCATCTTCGTCCAACAGGTGCTCCTTGATGGTCTCCTTCATTGTCTCCTTCACCTGGTTCGGACAGGAGATCATCTCATTAAAAAGCTCAAATAAAATAGTAAATGACCAGCACAAGAATGAGATAAAAGACACACGTCTAAGCTTGTTAATCTTTATTCAATACACACTGATTGATAGTTTAGGACTGTGACAGATAGAATTTCCTGTGTCTACTGACCTGTTTAAAGATCTTGTTTGCCAGGAAGGACCCCCCCTTGTCAGCCCCGGCCTGGCTCTTCTGCAGCGTCTCTGGAGACACCAGCGTGGGGTTGGGTCTCTGGGCTTCCTCTGTCAGCAGCTGGATGATCACCGCCTCCACGTCGAAGAACAACACGTGCATGTCAGGGTCGGTCAGGTTGGTCTTCATCGCCTGGACCACCAGGGCATTATGGGAGTATTTTGGCAAGTTGCCCTGGAGGAGAGAGAGAGAATTTTAAAGAAGACTTTAAAGGAAGCAGCGATGAATGTTACTCAGTCGGTGTTTCCAACACAGAAACTTTGTACCCACAGTGTGCATTGTTCCTGCAGAGAAAGGAAAATGTCAAGACTCTTGAGAGTCAGATGGCAGAGCTCCCTCTGGGGACATGTTCAATCTGTCACCTGACCGGACAGTCACAGTCCATATGTCCTTCCTTGTGACTAGCAACATATTAAAGTCACTATGTGTAGAATATCTAAGCATTTATTCAGATGTCATTAAATTTTTCTTTGTAGAAACAACCTCGGTGAAAACTGATCCACTTTATTCAATTTTCAAATCCTACACACAGTGGTTAGCCAGTGTCATCTGTACTCATTCTGAAATTGAATATTTAGGCCTGAGGCAAAGCCTACACAGGGGCAGGACTCAAAAAGGTACCATGGCTGTAAGGAGGTCCTCCAGTGATGTAGTACTGGACATAAAGGGGGGAATTGTTAGAGACATTTTAAAAAGTAATAGTTAAAACTAACGCAGCACAGGCTGAGATATTCTAAGTGTTAGTCCCTAATACGGCTCAAGCTCTTAATCCTACAGTTCCCATAATTCAACAGGATCGTGTTTTATGTCTACCTCTCTATGTCAGTATCTGCGTATGTGTCAGTAGATATATAACAAAAATGGTCCCACTACCAGCGATACAGTGTATTTGAGTTTATTTAGAAACAGAGTCAATAAAATAATGCGGATTATATTATACGAACTATAATAACATGGCTTAACAATAATAATGATTAGTGACGCTTTAATAACCACATGTCAGAGATCTTTAAAATCCAACCTGGACTGAACCAACAAGAACAAAATGAATAGAATAATGATTTCAATCATTAAGTGATCCCTTTAAACACAAACTATCATTCAGACACACAGCAGGATACACAGCAAATACACACACACACACACACACAGCATTAGCTGTAATTGCTACCAATACTAACACACTGCTCGATTTGAATTGCATTAGCAGAGACACCTGCATGGAGCCGTATGCAGAACAGTGCTGTTTGTTTACATGTTAATGACCTGATGACTGCAATCAGACAACAGTGATCCTGTTAGAGTCTGACTATGAGGGAGGGAGGGAAGGAGGGGGGAGTCATTAAGGGAAGAATGACAAGAGGGAATAAAGGGAAAGAATGGCAAAAGCGGATTTTAATGGGCATGAGTCTCATGAAGGATTTTCCATTTTTTGTTAACTCTCCAAACCACCGTCTTCTGCATGAGGAGTGATGTGTTTAGTTAAATCTTAGGCCGGGCAGATTATTTTAACCCTCGACTAATTTCTACCAAAGTATTGCAGTTTGAAAATGGTCATGACACAAGATTAATTGCCTGAACGATCAATTATCTGGTTCTTGGAACTGGTTGAATTTCTGCCTCTCTGGGCCGGCTGTCTGCAGTGTGAGCAGCTCCACTGCCTGATTTCCCTCATGGCTGCTGTCAAAAGACCGTTGTAAACTCTGAGCTTGTTCTAATATTAGTATTTTACATGTTGTGGCGAAAACTGTCTTGACACTAAAGCAAACACCATACTGTCTACATCTTCCAGCCATCAGAGGCTCCATATTCTCACTTTTGATGCAGAGTAGAATAGAGTAGAGTAACCTTTTGAACAACATTGCTGAGGACGCATCTTATCTGAATAGAGATAGGACGATACAGTATACGATATAATCAGGTCATGCAATAAAAAAACAATAATTTGTTAATTATTGGGATAATCATTAAGTGGGATAATTGTATCAATAAGTCCCTCAATATTTGTTTTAGTGAAGTTGGAAGTTATTTATTCCGTGTTTTCAACAACGAGGCTTGTGTGATGTAATACTGTGTTGAAATAAATGAACTAAATGTACAGCCTTGCTGGTTGTTCCGAGACATTCAGAATCATTACTGCTTTTTCCATTATCATTTAACAGGCGGCTGTTAAAATCTATATATTTAACTCTTGTCGACTAGTAGCTTTATGTAACGACTGTTAGTCGACTATGAACATTTTCAGCCCTAGAACAAACATAAGGGAATCATCACAAGACAAAACTGACTGGTGGTTCCATGCTTACGTTCAGGGTGAGCTCTACACTGTGACCAATAGACCTTTTTCACAGCAGCCACTTTAACATGAAATAGTACTGTTGCCAGATAATTATGGCTCTGTTCATTCAGTCAAGCTGCTGCTATTGTGGGTGTTGGCTCACTGAAAAGGCCCTTCTACACTAAATAGAATGGAACCATAATAAGTGTCACCGATAACACCTGTGATTACCCTACTATTTCATGTGAAAACGGCTGCTGTGAAAAGGGTGTATTGATCGGTACAGTGCGAGCAGAAAGGCTGATTAAAAATGCAGCGCGAGTTAACACAACATACAAGATCAAAAACAATGCACAGCGTCTGCATGGCTGTGTTTAATTGTCAAATGGACTTTCTGTTGTGTTTGCCTCTGTGTTTTCACCTGTTGTGTTGCAACATGTTATGTTTTACCATTAATCAAAACATGACATTTGACAAATGCTTTTTCCGACCAAGACTTCAAATCCCGAAGATATTCACATTATAATGCCATAAGACAGAAAACAGCAGCAAATACTCACAGTGGAGAAGCTGGAACCTGAGGATGTTTTCTATTGTGGTTTGATAAATAACTCTGGTCAATAGGGCAATCAATCAAATGACCAATTGTTTTGGCACTACATCTGTTCACATTGTAGACCTGCTGCTTTAGCATTACACTACCAGACTCTGGTCAAAACAATAAAGCACATTAATATTTGAGACATTAGTTACATTTTCTGCAGTTGTTCTAATGTGTGTTTCTGTATGTCTGGAAATGCACCAGATGATTGTTGCTAATCAAATAATGAATATTTCTCTGTGCTGGGCTTTCTGGTTGTGGAATCACTGTTTTTAACCTTTCGTGCCATTAAAGCTCATGAAATTGAATTTGATGTGACTGTGTGGGAGAGAACAATAATTAGCTGTGGAGACTCTTGACTGACCGAGAGACACAATACACCTGCAGCTGACACACACACACACACACACACACACACACACACACACACACAAAAATCAACATTG